GAAACTGGACCAAAGGCACTGGAAGCGTTAATGGCCTTTCGATCTATAATTTCAGATCTCTCCGACTTGGTCCTAATGAGAGTACTTTCTCTCTGTGCTGTTTGGGTACTTAAGTTGTTCAGGCAAAGTAGAAGGATTTGTTTTAGGGGTACAGCTCGAACAAAAATTACCTTATAATATTTGAGAAGAACCTTCTGAAACCTACTTATTATCGACCTATTATATGTGAGTTCTACAATATCTAAAATTTTTGTAACCACAAATCAAGAGCTATGTTGAAGAAGCTTTCTAAGAGTTTTCTCTCATGAAAAACTTAACTTCTTTGTTCCCTTCTTATTCCAGTGTTATGGCTGAAGTTTCATCTGCATACTGTTCATAGGCTACTGAGTCTAAGTCTTTAATTTGGCTTTCATTCCAGATTTATCCAAAAAGCTTCAGTTTATCGTATATTTAATTTATCCTTTTTCTTTTCCGTCTGTTCCTGCAATTCTTTTTGGATTTATTCTAATTGATATATTTTTTCCTAGTCTCTTAAACCAAGATGAAAATTCCTCACAAGACAATGCACTGGAGAATGTGCCAAATAATCCTTTGAAGATTGGTCAACAATTTTCTAGTTTATTCAGGATTAAATTTTTGAAAACCTTAATTCATCCAATAATATACATTTAAATGGCCCCATCAAATTCTTAACAATAAAAATTAAATCTGCTATTTTTTATGATGCCTGTGAATCATATGAATGTTTGGCATCTTCTATGGGTTATTTAGTACCTTCTAATACTGCAAGAGACAAATTATATGAATTTAAAGCACCCAAAATTTACCATTGAGTAGAAGACATCCTCTGTACATTATTATAAAATATTTCTATAATATATTTGTTTTTTTCTTTACATAAGAATAAGTTTCTCAGAAAGGGAGTAATAAATGATCATTAATAGAAACATGAACTGGAAAAAAATTGAAAGCGCTATACTGTTGATCATAAATTTGAAGTGCTTGTTATTAAAACAACAAATTTGGGTTACTAATTAATCTCACCTATTAAAATGGATTAAGGGCAATATACTTTATGTATCATGATACAACTTTTTTTCTTTGAAATATAATTCTCATAAACTAATTAAATTCATTATCTGCATGGAGTTATTTTATCTTACCGCCTAAAACATGTGTTCACTTATAAAACTCTTTCAAATGACTATTTATTTTTAGTTTTAATTTTCATAAATTTAACATTAAATCTGATAAAAGCTTATGATAAATGGTTTGAAAAATAAGATTACAATTTGTATTGATGGGTAAATAGAAAAGAATTGCTATTATTTTTAAATGAATGATAGAATAGATAGTGGAAAATAGAAATCATATATTAGTAATAATGAATATTTAATTTTAAAAAGTTCACAGGTATATTCATATTAAAAGAAGATATAAAATATTTTTTAAACCCTTCAAATGATGTTAATGGTTTGGATTATTTTTTATTCATCATCAAATATTACTGAATTTCAAAATCAAATAAATTTAATTTTAGGTAATTATGTATTCAAATTTATCCTTATTAGATTCTATTAAAATAATTTAATCATAAATAATATGATACTTTTTATGGAAAGTAATATTTTGTAAATTGGTGATTGCAAACAGAATCTTTGCTGACTTTATTTCTATTTATGGTTTCATTTAAATAATTAATTTTAATTTAGAACTTTGAAATAAATTATATATGATTAAAAAATTTCAAAAATAAAAAATTGTAATGATTTTTCCATTTCGAAAAGATGAATTTCAAAATTATTTACATAAGAAACTAATTATTAAAAACAAAATATGCTGTTAATTATTTCATATTTTTATTTAATTAATATTATAGAAAATTTAATGATTTCCTTTATTTTTTAATTGCTTCAGTAATTATGTTGAAAAATAAATATAATATTAAATTTAAATCCTAATTAGTTCGAAAATTTATTAAAAACGTAATAGGTTATATCTTAAATCATTTTTATAATAACTCATATGATAAATATTTCTATTATTTCACATCCCAAAATACTAAATATTATGCATTTTCTGTCATCGTCCCATAAATTTGATCGATTTCACAATTTAATGATCCGATAATCTTAAAGTCGCCTTCACTTGCTTTGCTAATAAGATAGATGTGATGTTTATGTCTAACCAAAATGATATTTTTAATTTTATTTTATCTAATTGGGAAGTTTCTAAAATTATCTTCACATGTTTAGTTTTTATTCAAATGAATGGTTTTGTTATAATTCTATTTGAAGTCTCCATTCTACAATTCAAAAATCAAAATTTAATCGATATTTTCACCTTTTGTTACCCAAAGAAATTATTGTTCATTAATAAATTATATTTTGTATCCTTCAGTAACTTATTATTTACATTTGAATTTCCATTTCCCATCTATTCCTTTTCTCCAGATTAAAAAATGATATTTTTCACAAGATACGAGAATAGTCTCAGATTAATTCAAACTTAATGAAAAGATGACATCATTATTCCATAATGAATATAGAAAAGTTAGTTTGTTATTTATAAAGTCTACATTCCAAATTTTTATTGATTTATCTCTACTACATGAAATTAGTTGATCCTCTTAATGATTTAATAATAAATGTGAAATCCAATCTTTATGTTGTTAATATGATTATGACCACTACCAATCATTCTTATTAACTTATTTCCAGGAGATGATTGACTTATCCCAAGAACCGGAAATAAAGCTATTCAATTTTTTACTATATACTAAACATTAAACAAAATCTTAATGAACCTTAAATCGATACTATAACTGTAACATTCCTTCTGTAAAATTCCAAACTATTATATCATAACCATCAGTAGATATCATAATTGATCCAGTACTATTAAATGCTATTGCCCAACAAACTTAAGTCTATTTTTTTTAATCATCAATCAACTTAAATTAAATTTCAGATTATTTTCTAACAGCATGATCTATTTTTTATTAATCTTGAATGAAATTAATTTACTTCGTTAAATAAGTTTTTTAGTTAATGCTTTTGATATTAGTAAATAATTATGAGCACTTCTTTGCCAATTCAGATGGTTTAAATTCATTCAACTTGTTAATTAACTTTTGAATATATGACTCATTTGTAGTGTTAATTTGATTTAATAAAAGTTTTTCATCAAATTCTCCAATTTTCACTTAATTAATTAGATTATCCAATTATTCAAAGAAACTATATTTGAGTTATTATTATTCAATTTATTATAAACAATTAACCCATATCTTTGTCCTCGATATCTATTCATCTAATAATTAAATGATATAGGATTTAAATTGATCTAATGTAATCTCAAGTTCTTGGATTTATTAGATATTCATCATTATAAAGTAATTCACTTGTTCTTGCTTCCTCTTCTAATTCTCTTGTATTTAAGATACAACCTGTTTAAAACTCATTACATTATTTAGTTGATCTTATGCACTATCCATACATTTATTGCATAAAAGTCTTTTATTCTTTTCAATATTTTTATCACAAATAACCAATTAAATTGGGAGATTGTGATTCATTGAACAGACAAACTCTTCTATTTTTTCAATCATTTTAAATAAAATAGATTATTAATTATATTTTAAACATTTTTCAGCTTTTTTAGAATTATTAGGATTTCTACTGAATATTAAGATTATAAATTATTATCATAGTATTAGTAATCAAGAGAGATGAGATGATGCTTAAATAATGGAGCTTAGGAAATGCAAAGTAGGGGGGAGTATTGCCTCTTGATAAAAAATAATTTCAAGATCATAAGGATTTATAAAGAGAAAATTTGTCAATTTCTCAATAGGAAATTTCAATGTTAAGTTAAATTATAAAAGAGGGAATATTAATCTTAATTATTTAAGGAATAGATATTAGTTATAGAGACATTTGACTTTCACATGAAAAAATATCTAATAATACATTAATAATAAATTATTATAATAATGTGTACTTTATCAGCAATTATAAATCCCTCATCAAATAAAAAGGTAAAGTTTTCTATCAGCTATTAATCTTTTCTCCTTATCTTGATTTCATTCTCCTCTCTGAGCCGATATAATACTTCTCAATCAAAAGTCAGAAGGAAGCACAAAAATTAAAATTGCTTATGTTGGACTAGATAATTAATATTCTAAATAATAGATTATTGCATTAACATTTATATTAATGAAATTTTTAAATACAATTGAAAGTGTAGATCTTTTTGGTGTGCCAATCCCATTATTAACTTAGTCTAATAATGAAAAATTTTAAAGCAAAATGGGCGGAATTCTTTCCATTCTATTAGGAAGCTTAAGTTTCACTTACTTTTTATATGTTGTTGTATAATGGAGTAACAATTTACTTCCCCCGAATGTCAGTTCTAAATAGAAAACAATTGGTTATACAGAATTCTCATTTTCAAAGCCCCTAATTCAAATCACATTATAGGATTTGACCAATGATATTGATCCTTTCAGGAAAGTTAAAAACATTATCACTCCACTTTTATACACAATTATCAATTCAACTATACTAAAGGATCCCATTCCCTTGTTTAGCACTCAAGAGGATCCATATCAAATAACTTTATCTAATGGGTCCTTAGTCCTTAATAATTTGGACTATACGGATACCTAAAATTAAAAAATGAAGTAATATTTGATTGTATTAACACAATGCTCAAATAGTTCATTATTGGATGGAGGGTATTGTGCTGATGAAAAAGTTATTGAAGAATATTTATCCAAGTTTCATGGGCTTTTATTTTTAACTATAAGTTTGGGTCAAATAAATTAAATAACAAAGGAATTGGAAGTTTTTAATAAGTAATATTATACTAGTTTTGATACTAAAAACCCAATATATTCATAAATTATGCTAAAATAGTAAGAAACTATTATTGATGATGGGATTTTATTTAATAATTATAACCGATTCTATACTTTGAACAACTATGAAATGATCAACCAATAAATCGATAATTCCTTTGCTTCCAGGGTTTTCAATTACATGTCTGAGACTCCTCTAAATCTGGATAATTATGGTTGTTATTTATTTAGAATCGATAATATCTCAATAGTGGAAGAAGTCACTATGCCAAAATTAGGTTAAATTCTAGCTCAAATAGGTTCTATAGTATAATTACTATTTTTATTAAAATATGCAGCTTTTTATTATAATAACCAATTACTAGAAAATGAATTGCTCCACGATATAATATCCATGTATTATCCAGATTTAAAACAATGCAAAGTTAAAAGCTATTTAAAGAAATAATTGCTGTAGGAAGAGGACAACAACAAATTAACTTCGACTTAAAATTTGTTATCTATTCATAAAGCTTTACTTCAAAGTGCTCGGCAAAAATGCAGACTTAATAATATCATATACGAAATATCAAGAATATAATTCATCATTTAACAATAATTTGGGATTCAAATTTTAACAGCAAGTCATCAGTTAGGAGAAAAATTTGAAAGTAATAATTTTAGTCTTGCAAGTGGAAAAGAAACAAACGGATTTCTTGTCAAACCAATAGATCAGATTGAATCACAATAAATAGTAAATAATAAAGAACCTCTGGAATTGCTACTAAGACAACCCTGACAACAAAATAATATTTTATCCAATTTAAATATAATACAATAAAATGGTTAACTATTTCAGAATAAACTCTATTCTAGTATTAAAGAAATTATTAGTTAGAATATCTATTATCAAAATACCTTCAGTTTTATATTTATTGATTAAGTTTTTTTCTCTTCAAGAATGAATTAAACTTGATATTCTATATTAGAATGTTTTCACCAACTGCTTTCTTTAGCCAAACAAAAAGCTAATAGAACTAAAACTAGAAAATGATGTTAATGAAAAGAATTTGATAATTAAGGTGCAAATGCCTTTTTAATTTTCAAAATAAAAATTAAGTGAGACAAAATAAATTTGTTTCTATCCTTCTTCATTTAGATATCCCACTTTGAAAAAATTGATTTGCCTTTCATAATATCAAGATTCAAATTATATATGTATTATAATTAAAAATGAGCTGAACTTAAGAAGTAAAAATAGAGGCTCACAAAGTCTTGATTTGAGTTCTTTGATATTNAGTTTTTAATAAGTAATATTATACTAGTTTTGATACTAAAAACCCAATATATTCATAAATTATGCTAAAATAGTAAGAAACTATTATTGATGATGGGATTTTATTTAATAATTATAACCGATTCTATACTTTGAACAACTATGAAATGATCAACCAATAAATCGATAATTCCTTTGCTTCCAGGGTTTTCAATTACATGTCTGAGACTCCTCTAAATCTGGATAATTATGGTTGTTATTTATTTAGAATCGATAATATCTCAATAGTGGAAGAAGTCACTATGCCAAAATTAGGTTAAATTCTAGCTCAAATAGGTTCTATAGTATAATTACTATTTTTATTAAAATATGCAGCTTTTTATTATAATAACCAATTACTAGAAAATGAATTGCTCCACGATATAATATCCATGTATTATCCAGATTTAAAACAATGCAAAGTTAAAAGCTATTTAAAGAAATAATTGCTGTAGGAAGAGGACAACAACAAATTAACTTCGACTTAAAATTTGTTATCTATTCATAAAGCTTTACTTCAAAGTGCTCGGCAAAAATGCAGACTTAATAATATCATATACGAAATATCAAGAATATAATTCATCATTTAACAATAATTTGGGATTCAAATTTTAACAGCAAGTCATCAGTTAGGAGAAAAATTTGAAAGTAATAATTTTAGTCTTGCAAGTGGAAAAGAAACAAACGGATTTCTTGTCAAACCAATAGATCAGATTGAATCACAATAAATAGTAAATAATAAAGAACCTCTGGAATTGCTACTAAGACAACCCTGACAACAAAATAATATTTTATCCAATTTAAATATAATACAATAAAATGGTTAACTATTTCAGAATAAACTCTATTCTAGTATTAAAGAAATTATTAGTTAGAATATCTATTATCAAAATACCTTCAGTTTTATATTTATTGATTAAGTTTTTTTCTCTTCAAGAATGAATTAAACTTGATATTCTATATTAGAATGTTTTCACCAACTGCTTTCTTTAGCCAAACAAAAAGCTAATAGAACTAAAACTAGAAAATGATGTTAATGAAAAGAATTTGATAATTAAGGTGCAAATGCCTTTTTAATTTTCAAAATAAAAATTAAGTGAGACAAAATAAATTTGTTTCTATCCTTCTTCATTTAGATATCCCACTTTGAAAAAATTGATTTGCCTTTCATAATATCAAGATTCAAATTATATATGTATTATAATTAAAAATGAGCTGAACTTAAGAAGTAAAAATAGAGGCTCACAAAGTCTTGATTTGAGTTCTTTGATATTGATGGAATTAAAAAATTATTCATTATTGCAGTATTATTGAATTGCTTTTCTTGATCAGATAAAATAACATATATTTTAATTGTATAATGTCTTTTGAAACCTGATTATTTTTAAGACTCTACATTAATAAAAATATTATAAACTGATGTAAATATATATACTTCAAAATTCAAATTAATCCAAAATAAATGTCATTTCAAATTTCTAACAGATTTCTTCATACAATTATTCTTTTAATTCTAATTCTTTTTACATTTAATTCACTAAATTATCTTATTAACCTATCTTTTGATTTAATTCTTAAATTTAGCACTCATTTTAGATCGATAATTCTTTTAAACTCTCTACATATTTATTTTGTTCTTCTTACAACTTTAAATTTAGTATTTAAAGTTCATCTTCAGTATTTTTCAATTTAGATTCCATAGCTTTTTCAATTTCCTTAAGTTGATCAATTATTATGTTTTAATCCTCAATCTTCATCTAGTTATTTTGTTAAAATTTCTCATAGTCTAACTTTAAGGCGTCTAAATTGGTTTCTAATTTCTAATTTTCACAAAATTTCTTTAAGTATTTAAAATCATTTTCAAATTTGTCGTTGTAATCTTGAACTTATTTTTGAAGGTTTGTAAGATCTTAATCTGGAATAGATTTAATTTTATTGTTAACATAATTAATTTTTTTCTAATGTTCTTAAAAGTTGTGAATTGTTTCATTGAATAAACCAATCTAGCAATAAATTGATTTTGAAGAATTTATCAACTCATCTAATTCCTACTTTACTATCAATTGTTCTTGATTTACTTTATTAATCTCCTAAATTTGTTTTGATAATACGAGAATTCCTTGAATTTGATTATCATCTACAGAATTATAATTTTTGAATACTTGATACATCCTGTAAAATATTTAATGACTCTTAAATGTCTAATTAATCATGCTATTTTAAGTGCTCTAATCTGGTTTCAATTTCTTTTGATAATAAAGAATCTTTAGATTTCATATATTCAATTTTTGAATCTTGAATCACATTTTCTTTATCGTATTGAATCAGATAACTAATACTTTATACCAATTCATCTTGATTTAATCCTTGAATGGAGGTCTATTTAAATTTACAGATCTCTACTGTTTTAGTTATTGGTTAAGAAAATTCTGCTATTATCTTATCACTTATATCATTAAGTTATTAATTGTAGTTCTTTCTCATTCTTGCAATTTATTTATTCAAATTTTCATATTTTTCCTCCCTTTTGGTCTTCAATTCGTTTATAAATCTATCTTATTGGTTTTTTGCTTGGTTCCATTCCTAATTTACTTTTTCTATTGTTCTGTATTAATAATTTGGACGATCACTAATACAATCGACACAAGCAAATCTATCTTCCATATTTCTATTCTTAGTATCTATGTCAATCATTATAATTTCCTTTTAATGAGTTGGGCAAACTACGCCTAACGTAGGTGTTTTCTAATAAAGGAATAAAATGTACTTTGTTATTTTTACTTTGTGAACCTAATATTTCAAATTTCATATTCTCATTTACTTCATTGATTTTTTGTTTAGCGTCCTTAAATGTGTGGATGGTTTAGAAATACGAAGCGTTATTAAATAAGAGTTCAAATTAATTAAAAATTTAATCAATAAACTAGCTATCTTATTCAAACTCCAATTATTTATATTAAGGGTCTGTTGAAAGAAAATCTGATAATGATTTAACATCATCCTAAAAATTATACATGGATTAAAAGGTTTCTGATAAGGATGATTTTTCGTTTTAAATTGTAAAGATTTGGGCTTTAATTTAACTATAGATTTTTTCTAAAACACCGTCTACGTTACATTTAAAGTCCATTATTTAATCAAGTATTTTCTTGAAGTAATCCAACCTGTATTGATTCTCTTTAGCCTTATTTTTTTATTTTTACGTTTTCAAAATCTATATTCTTTCCTTTGTTTATTCGATTGTTGATATTTTATTGCTATTAATTTTCTCAACTAAACAATTACTGCACATATATTAATATTAACCTTTTTCTGATATATCCAGATCTATAGCAACGATCTAACTATTATGATTCTGACACACCATTTCTTGAGTTTCAAAGCCTTGTTTTTGTATTTATGAATTGAGAATATTCATCTGTCTATGATATTAATAATAAGATATTATGCTTCTTCTTATTCTAAAATAACAAATCATATTCTATTAGTTTAATATTTATTTCTGGTAATAATACCATTTAAATAGAGCAAATAATATTAATTATCTGCAAAATTAAATTAAAACACAATTATTAATCCTATTAGATGTAGAACTGGATTATATTATATCTCATTAAATAACAGTAGATCTCATATTCTATAAATATTATATATTATAAAGTTATAGTCAAAGTAAATTGTCCCTTTATCAGATTAGGCTTTAAAAACTCAAAATAGAGGTAAGTATTTTCCTCACATGAATAAAAGGAATAAAAAATAAGTTCAAGTCAATCTCTTGGATAGATTTTCCAAACTCAGTTATTCACTTTTAAAAATGTATAATAATCAAGCATAATTAGAACTGCTTAACAAAGAAAATCAATTGATATTATATTAATTCATATATTCAACTCAAGTAAAATGATCAAGACAATAGAAAAAAAGAAGCTAATGCGGCCTTTTGAAATTAGTAATTTGAATGTTGCAATAGCTAAGGAACTTAATAATTGTGTTATTTGATCTCCAAATTTGCTTTATAATTCGATGAAATATGAACTGTTGTTCCTAAGAAAATGATTGGAGAACAACATAAACATTAGGTTGCTAGCTAAAGTTGATTTCCTGGCAGTGGAAAGTAATGTTTGTAAAATTTAATTAAATCATAATTTGTTACAAGAGTTGGCATCACTAGCAACTCAACGTCATTGGGAAGTTTTCCTATCATAATTTATGATTTTATGCTTCTGAGGTTTCTAATACTCTACTAACCTATAAGAAGTCTGCTGGAGCTCAAAGTATGGAGGTAAAAACTGTTTCCTTGCAAATTTAGAATCGAACCAAGGTTCTTGTTTGAAGGATAGTTAGCCCAGAAGGTTTCAAACTATAACATAAGGGATTCATGATCTGAATATCCTATTCTGAACCATCCATTCCCAAGGATCTCTAGAACTGTTTATTATAGTGGTGATTAGTTGTTAAGGTGATTTCAAAATGATGAAATCTATTTTATTGGTGTACATAGCCTGTATACTATCATTAAGAATCAAGTGCAAGTTGGCTTTGGAAACCTCTAATATTTTGTGGTTATTATAGGTTGATATATCTATTTCTCAATCAAGATATTTTCAAATCCATAGCATCTTTTGATCCCATTTAAGTCCTCTAAGAGAAATAAATTATGGTATTAAATCGAAAAGATTGATTATTTAATGATAAATAGAAATATAAAAAGAAGTCAGGAATTTGATAGCATGAATTCTATAAATTCTCTGATCATCAACCTCTTACCATATCCTTCTCTATTCCACAAGAAGATCTTTTTCCATAAAATTATCATCAATATCTAGTTACTAAATAAGTACTTGATTGTTTTGGAAATCAAATTTTATAAATAAGGTTGCATTAAAGTTGAGTGCCAATAATCCTAAATTACCTGGCATCTTTTATATTGATTATTAACAAAATCTTAATCAATACTATATGAACATGCAAGTCACTGCTATTATCCAATAGTCAAAATAACTCTATGTCATTATTGCTCACTCAAAACTAATTAGGAGAGAATGATCTATTATGAATAGAATTTAAAATGAAGATGGAAATTTAATTTGTGCTACAACAAATTAATTTATGTGTATCCTGACATTTATCATTCGACATATGACTTAACTATGGCTATCATACACTAGACCGATTATGTTGCTGCATTGATAAACATCTAAAATCGATTAGAGGAGGCTGTTCTATAGTAGGGAGATCAAAAGAAGTCTACGCTTAATTCTATTGTAGGTGTTCTAAAGAAATAATTTGGTCTTCAACCCTCTGCCTTAAATCAAGAAAAATTAGCTTTAAATTAAAAGGTATTCCCCTTCTGAAAATGCTTATAGAATCCATAATTAGGATGAATTAATTACCCAAATTTTCTGCACACTTGCAATTTTTCACACTTAATGAAGTGTCTTCCAAGTTTTGGATCCCTAAAAAATAGAACCACAGTTTGAAAGTATGTAATGAATGTAGTTGTTAATAGTCTTTTGCACATGTTGAAAAATCTTTCTTCTTTACTGTGCCACATTTATTTAGACATAAAAATTTAAATCAATTATCATGATCATTATGTTATTCAGATTAGACATATCAGATTCATGCTTCTACTTTTACAGATTAATTCAAAACTTTAACGGCATTAATTATCGAAAAGACCACTGGATGGGAATAAAAGAATCATCAGGATTTATGATAAATTAATGATTATTTTTGGAAAGAAAAAAAAGACACAACCATACCCACTTTTTAATTCAGTTTTAATAGAAAAGTACAGATATATAATATTATCAAGAAAAGTATATTATGATTTTACAAGAGGTAAAAGTGAAAATATAAAAAAGATTTGATTCCGAATTTGTTAAATACTTTCAGATTGAAAAGTGACTAAACATATAGGATAATTTTTTGGATTGCAACTAATATTTTATTTTTAACATGGTTTAAGTAATGTTGTTATGAAAAATTTAGATGCAAAATATTTTATTGCAAGTTGAATTTTATTTCAATCAACATTTCTTTTTTTCATCTTTATATTTACATAATTCGGCATATAATGATGATTATTAAGTAATTCCTGCTTTATTTTTGAAAGTATTTGTTGTAATTATATCAGATTTATCATTAGATAAATTATATTTTATTAAATTGATCTTACTATAATAATTAGTATTATTAGTAATAAGAAATGAATGATTTTGATGATAAAGGTATTATTTAAAATATAAAGTATGAAAAGAAGAATTAAAGATAAGTATAGAAAATGTGTGATATGATTAGTTATAATTAAATGTAATACTAGAATTTTATAAAATGTATTATTTTGATATTCATGATTATTACAATTTGATTAAACATAAATCTAAATCTAGAAAATAAGAATACCTTTTTAGTTTAATATCTATTAATCATTTGGTTAAATCTTTAATGAACGTTCATAATATATCAATGCTTCTTAATATTTATGCTAATCATATAAACAGTTTCCTTAACATAGTTGAATAAATATACCCATACAATCAAGACTAAATTTGTGATTCCCATTTATACATAAACCCTAATTCAGAAATTAAATAGATTCATCATATTTCTTCATTAACCTTAAACATTGCCCTATTAATTTGTTCTTGATAAACTACCTTTAATGCATAAGGAACCAATATGTTTAGGATCAATAGTCAAAGCTTTGTCCAACCATACAATTGCATTTTCATATTTATTTAGAAGCATTAAACATTATCCTATTAATATATTAATGATAATGAATTCAACCTTTTTCGCTTAAAGAAACAATATATTTAGGATCTATAGTTAAAGCTTTGTCCAACCAAGGGATTGCATCTGCATATTTATTTAATAACTTTAAACATGACCCTATTAATATAATAATCAGCATTTCAACCTTTTTCACCTAAGGAAGCCACATGTTTAGGATCAATAATTAAAGCTTTGTCTAATTAAGTGATTGCATCTTCGTATTGATTTAACAATCGTAAACATTAGCCTATTAATATAATAATATAATAATTCAACCTTTAATACATAAGGAAGTAACACTTTTAGGATTAACAATCAAAGCTTTGTCTAGCCAAGTGATTGCATCTACGCATTTATTTAAAAACATTAAACATTAGCCTATTAATTTAAATAATCTTCACCCTTTTTATATAAAGATTACTAATTCTTAGGATTTATTAATATTGATTTATCTAATTATTCTAAAGCCTCATAATACTTTTAATCTACAAATAATTTAAAGCCTAATCTAATAATTATTTGTACCTTTCTTTTGGAACTCTTCAGATATTTTAATTTCTTCATTATCAATTTAATAATAATTTTATGATGATAATTTTAATTATTCATATAAATTATCAAATTAATGAGTTAATTTCTTAATCTATTCTTAAATAATTGTTGAAATAGATTATTTATATTCAGACAATTAGGTGATTTAGTTCAAATAACCATTGATTTAGCAAGAATCCAATTAAACTACTCTTTCTTTAGATAATGAATATTTATTTTTGATTCCTCTTTTTAAAAATGAAAAGGATTAATTCATAGTTTCTACACATCTATTAAGATTATTAATCAAATTATCACACTCCTAATTTTTACTTTCAATAAAATAAAACAACGTGTTCATTTTTTCTACATCATCCAAATGATTTTGATGAATTCCCTTTTTAAAACATTCAAAACAATTTAATCGAAAGCCTGTGCAATATTAATGATAACAAACAAAATCAATCTATTCCTTATGATCATCTTCTAAGCATTTTAACTTCAAAGTAGTTTGTTAAATCATTTATTTAATATTTTTTCTATAAATATATAATTATTTAAGTTAATGTTTCACTTCTTAAATTATTTTAAAAACAAATCAATTCATATTTCTAAAAATATTAATCCTATCTTATTGTCTTCAATTATTTCACAATACAACCTTTTTGCTGCTTTTGAAATTGTAAATATCCTAATTATCCTTAATCATTTTTTAATTTTATTTCTTACTTTTCTATTATCTTAAGTAAAATCAGTTAATTTGGAAAATCATCTGATACATGCTGTGAAAACGATTAAAATTAAAATATTATGATGTTCATATGTTAAGAAAATGTACAGTCATATAAATCGATTTCTCGTCTGATATAAAAATTATCATAAAAAGAAAAGAACTTAAATTTCATTATTTTAAAATATGTAGTTCATACTTTTAGGTTGAATTTCAATTCTATATCTTATTTGTTTCATTTTTCTCTCATTAATTTAATATATTTAGAAATAAATTTTAACAAGAGTATTTTTATTGTTATATCTGGCACAATTATTTTGAATCGGAATAGTCTAAGCCAATTTCAGATTTTGTTTTGAACACTATTTCATCATTTAATTATCAAAGTATTATTATTCATTTATAACAGAAGCCTTTATCTTTCTTATATTTTGAATAAATTATGGGCAATCAACATTAGCTGAATTTCTGCATTTAAGTTATACTATATCAAATAAATTGGTATAAATAAAGATGTCGTTGCTTTTATTTATGTTCAATTTCTATACTTTATTAATATTTAAGCTGAAATTTAATTGATATTCCAAATAAAACTTTATTTCTAAAAATTAAATGTTTCTTTGTTAAATTCAAAAACATCTCTAATTAAAATGATATATCCAAAAGAAATCTATGTGGTAAATTACATTAACTTAAAACACACAGTTGTTGTAATTTTAATAGTTGGTTAGAATTCTATTAACTTGTTTCTTAATACTTTGATTTGTTAATAAAGAATTTATTCAAAGATTTATTGGAATCAAATAACTTCATTTTTGCTACGATGTTTAAGCCTCCTAAAGCCATTTCTTCTATATTTGCTAAATGAACTTTATTCCCTCTCCTTTGTTCGGTTCTGTAAGTTGATTCTCAAAATGTCTATGACTGTCCTCTTTCTCATAAATTCCTAAGGCCATTTCCAATTAGAAACCACTCTTAATTCCTTCATGTTCAAGTTGTCTTCTCCAAATTTCTCTTCCTCTCTGCTTCTACTACTTAATCTTCTATATTACGCAATATTTTTTCAACATTTCTTCTTTTACTTTTATATCTTATTGTTATGTTTAAGTTTAAAGCTGACAACTTTTCTATACCAAAAGCGATTTTCTTTGCTAATACACATATTTTTTCTTCCTGTTACACTAATGATTACTTGTATAACCTTGTTTAAAATAGATTTATTTAAAAACTAATATATTTTTTTGTTTTATCTTAACTGTCTAAATAACAATTCTTTGCAGACTATCAAGCTTAAGAATCTGGAGATCCTTTTAATCCATTTTCAATTGTTAGACAATTAAGACCAATATTAAACCAGGACCAAAACTCAGCTGAAATTATTTTGGACTATAAACTCAAAGGAGTTTATTAGAAGCCAAAAATCTTGAGAAAGTATTAAAAAATAGCTTAAATCTTTTCCCTAATCTTGCGAGTATTTTGCTTTCTAACATATTTTTAATGAAAAATCTAAATTATTGCGCATCGTTTCCTGATTTCCTTATGTTTTATACGGAAATATAGAATTATCGTCGTAAATACTGCGGTTCTAATTTTGATAAGGGGGTGGATCATAAAATTAATACTTACTACGTTCCTTTTCTTATAAGGTGATTACTCAAATCTACAACATATAATACTCAACTTTTTGAAATTTAACTCTAAATAAAAAGAGTTTAGATGCTAAAAAATTGAATTATAAACAAAGTGTTTTTGTTGTGTTCTATCTTAAAATTTGGAATGAGATGTAACAAGGCATACAAAAATCATAGAATTTTAAATTAAAGTGATTTTACAGAAATTGTTAGAATACACATTAAATTGAAAGAAATGATTGGCTCTTAGCTGAAAGAATTCAATAGAAAAAATTAATATAATATTGGCAAGTATTTAAATGTTAAATATAAGATTATTATATATTATATATATAAAACATATAAATGATGAAATAAAAGTATCATGCAAATGATATAATTCAATACCCTATTTACTATTTCGATTTCTATCTTCATTGTTTTTTTAGGAATAGAATAAATCTTGGGGGTATAGAAGATTAATTAAGGAATATTCATGTAAAAAGCCAATAAGAAAATATTATTAATATTGGTGTTTTTATGTATTATTTCATAGATAGAATCAAAGATTAATGTTTCATAAGCGAAATCAAATATTAGGCTTAATTTAACAGATTAGCTATTAAATAGAATTAAGATAAAAAATTATAAATATTTTTTGAATATTTTAGAAAAATAAATATTACATTAGAAATTGATAGTGGTAAATTTATTTGAGGCACATTTAAACACATTAAATAGCTTGAATGTTATTACTGAAGAGCACTTCTAATTGATTTCTTTCAAAATTGAATCTTGAGTCATTAATTTGTTTTGTAAATTTCTCATTCCAACATTTTCCTTTAATATATACAAATTTTCATTAAATAAATATTTTTCTCTTTATCTGCTTTAATAGCCAATTATTCAATTGTTATAATATTAGATAAATACCCTCATTTCATCATTTTTAAAACAATATTTTTTAATATTATATAATTCAATAATTAATTAAAGTTTAACTAGTGGTTATTAGAAATCAAATTTCTGAAACTTATGATAATGATATCATTCAAGATTCATCCATAAACAGAAATAAGAGTTTTGTCTGGCAATTGATTTTGAAGTCTTGGTAAACCGCGAAACAGTGCAAGATTATCAAAAGTGTTTAATGAAAACTATAATGCTGAGGAGTTGATGAGAAGGTGGAATCAAATTCTTTTGCAAATTTCTTTATGATTAAATGCATCCTATTCATATCCTTCATTTTTTAAGCGTGTCATAATCATTAATAATTTTGGATCTAAATGGCTAATTTTGAATGATAGCACTTTAATGTTATTGAATTTGTAAATCATTTGATAAAACCTTTCTAACTTCTATTCATACTCCTGGTTCCCCTTCAAAGCTATTTGATTTTAAGCATAGCTATTTTGATATTTTATTGCCCATATGTAGCATAGCCTTATTGTTTGACTACATATGTTAGATGGAGCTAACTAGGGATGATATTAAGGCCATCAAGTCCTGTTGAATGAAACAAACGTTTATTTATATTTCAATCTTCACAATATATTTCTTTTAAAAAAACCTAGTTTAATGCATTTTCGAATTTTATAATTATCAAAAGATAAGCTAAGTGTAGTAAAAGTAACAAAGTTAAATTAGATATTGACAATAAAAAAAATATCTGAAAAGGCCTTTTTAATGCTAAGAATAAAGTATCATACTAAAATAAATTATCAATTTTATAAATAAATATGTTTATTCAATTACTTTACATTATGATAAACTTCTATTCAACTATAATAAATCAATTGTGCCTATTGGCATATGGTTTGATCTGTGTATATATTGTAACAACACTTAATATTAATAATTAATAACAACTATCTTAGAATTAATTCATGATTTTTTCTAATATAATAAATTATTAAGTCTTTTTAGAACCTATTTGATGTTTGCAAATCAGTATTTTTATTTTTATAACTTCTTAGATATGCAATAAATTGAGCAACGTAGTTCTTATCTATAAATCTATTTTCAGACATTTCTCTTATGACTATTAAGAGCTATGATTTAAATATTTGATGTGCATCATGATGACTAGAAGTTAAACAGCATTTTGAAATTTATGAATGATTAAGTTCTATTTTTGTAAATTGAAAATTACCAATTGCTTTGAATAATAATCTATTAAAAATACTAACTCTAACAACTAGAATACTTATAAATAATTTAATATCAGAATAATTGATTATCTGTTGAGTTATGCTATCAAAAATAAGAAGTTCATGATGCCTGTTCTCTGAATGATTAATCAAATTCGAAATATAAACAAAGTTCGGTTAAAGATTTGAGATCATAAAGAATCAATTTTAGCTTTAAAACCAATATCTAAGGCGGTAAGGTGTAATAGAGAGGCTAAGATAATATAATTTGAAGCCAAAATAATATAAATCCTTTTATTTCATGATTATTATCAATAAAAAGGAATTCCTTTCTTTACAAGAATCTATAGAATTACTCTATTAATAAGAGAAGAGATATAGAGAGAGAATGCTGTATTAATAAATATAAATCTTCTAATATTGAAGAAAATTGAAAATTATTAAATTACATAGATATGGATAGTTTATTACTGTGGTTAGATTTTTAGAGATATTTTTTAAGTAAATCAATATTATCAAAATGTAAATCAATGTTCATATTCATATTTAGATAGAGGATGGTATAGATTTGTTTAGAATGCTTAGATGTTTATCAATTTGATAGATGTTTGTTGATTTAATAAATCGAGTTGATGGTTTCAGTTTTTGGCTATTTCATTCCGAAAGATGTTTTGTCTCATTATTCTTGAATAAATAGATTACTTAACCTTTGAAAAATCATTTATTTGAAAAGTACGAAAATACAGTGTTAATTTTTGCAATTTAATCAAAAGCCTCTTATAATAAATAAAGTTAGAGCTAGTAATTATTAATGTATAATCATACGTTTTTGTTATTATGGGAATAATATAACCTTTTTTTTTTTAAACTTTTGTTGGGTGCTAATAGATAAATAGTTTTATACTCAGTTTAAAATAATAAAGGAGTTGCCTGTAATTATTTAACTAAGCTTGATAAATATTCTCCTCTATTTATAAATTTGAAATCTAAGGTTGTTAATGTCATAGCCTTTGAGGTCATTCTAACTTTCTTAATTAGATTTAAAAATAGTTATCATAGATGTTTAATTGAAGTAAATTTAGAAAAACATAAAATACGAATGGTTTGAAATGGAATTTACTGATTGAAATTATCAGTTAAAAGGAATATCATTACAAGAACTCTTCCCTTTTCGATTGAAATAATATCATATACTTGGTTGTTTTATAGAAACCTACATTCATTTCTTTTAAATCTATTGAGTTAAATGAATATCAGATTATTAAAATATAACAAACCTTAATTATAGAAACTATGGTTTTTCCAATTTTTGCATTAAAAGTATTGAGAAATATGTTTTTACAAGTTCCTTCGCCTATATATCCACTTTCTCTTTATCCAACCAGCAATTATGCATTTTTATAATTAGTCCTTCTATGATTCTTTTATTTTAATTATTTCTTTCCTATAAATAATTCTTTAGAAATAGGTCATTCATGTTTTCTTCTTTCATCAATGTCTCCATCAACATCCTAAGTCCGAAAAGTTCTCCTGTTTCTTTTCCTAAGGTATTATAAACATTAATGCCCTCCTTTCACTTTTTTTCAAACAGTATCTTTTTGTGACATTCAATTCTTCTTAATTCTTTTTTTTTTTTTGAAATAGCCAAATAAAATATGGAAAAATAAAAGCGATTGTGATTTAAGTATCCGTTAAAGTCATATTAATCATTTGAAAAGTTTAGAAATATCTGCATTACTATTAGGTATATTTTCTTAACAATGAAATTTATATTTATATTATGAGAGTCACATTAATATTCTTAGATAATTAAATTTAAGAGTTTTCTGGGTTTTATTGGAAAAGGGATACCCTTATCATCTTGATAGAAAAGTATTAATTTTAAGCTGATTCTGATTAAAAGAGGATTAAGTACCAAGTATTCAATGCACCATTGACTATTAGTTTAAAAATTGAGGTTACTGAGTTGGGTAAAGAGAAGGAATTTTGTTGGTTTTTCAACTAAAGTTTGAGACTCTAATGAGAATTTTCAGAATGAGCGATCAGATTTTAAAACAAGTTATCTAGAATTTTCAATGGACTCAATTAGGTGCAGGATGTCATACTTAAGTATAACAAGTTTCCGTAAAGCCATCAGATATTATTAATAAAGTATAAATTATTGGAGAATACATTTCACTTTCTGATAGATGACTCGGAGGTTCTTCGCTGTGTACTCTTATATCAATTTTAATAGGAATTATTGGATATTTGGAAAAAATAACCAAATAAGAAAAAAAAGTAGTTCATATAGTCTAATTGGTCTAAGTATGTTGATTAGACTAAAGGGAAAAAAATCAGTAGTGTGGATGAAGAAATAACGAAGATTTCTATATGAAAATAATAAAATGCTAACAATACCTTTAACATCCACTCAGATTCAGAACCATTAAGAAGTTAGCAAATTCAGAAAAAGGTTATGAATAGTATGGCCAATAATTCTTTCCTATAGAATAATAACTGATATTTGGATAGATATTTTAAGGAGTTGATGGATAATATGAAAAATGGAATTAAACATTGTGGATAAAGGGGGGAGATAGTTTCTTTAATAGCCTTTCCAATAAAATATGTTAAGACTTATAGGTGTGGTATTAAAGTTTTCTTTATTTGGAATGGTAATATTGTTTGACTATAGGGTTCCTGGAATAAATTATTTCTTAATAAAAATAAATTTACATAATATTACGAATAGGAATGATTACCTTCTAGTACTTAAGAAGAGGATTATTGAAGATCTAATGGCTTCTAATCATGGAATAAATGGCTAAGAAATAAGGATATGATAGACATGGGCTTTAAACTGGTTGAAGAACTTTATGTTTATGGCATATGGAATTCATTATTACATGATTAACCAATCAAAGATAAGAACGGCACTATTCATCTGAAGGATACGCTATTTTAAAAAACTTCTATTTATCAAAATTGTAAAAAAGGCAATAATTTGGAATAATTCATTCAGATTCTCCTTGTGAGTAAAATGCGGATACTATTCATAAATTATAAGTAGAACCTGTAATGTTGTGTCCGCTACTTGCCTTAATTTCCCTAAAAACAGAAATCTTCATGCAATTCGAGTGAGTACCTAGATCTACCAAAATCCTCAGGTGTCTAAAGTTTTATTTGAGATCTGAATTATATCTATAAAGTAAACCTTTATAAATACTGAAGTTTATCTGAAGCTCTTTAAACTAAAAGAAAAAATTAATGATTTCTTGGATCAATTAAAATTAAAAAATAAAACATGTAATTAGATGAAAAACCTTTTATTTAATTTATAATTTTAAAGTATTCTTTTAATAAACAAATTTTTTAACTTTCAAAAATCTAAGATAATCTAATATTAAAGTTTCATTTAAATAGTCATTTTAATTTTCCATATACTATTTATTATAAGGGTGATATAAGAAAACAGAATTGAAAGTCCTGCCTCTATATCTTTAATTAAATTTAATAATCGAGTATATTAAATAATTTCACTTCTTATAGTGCTTAGAAGAGTAGCTTTATTCCATTGCAGCAATTAAAAAACAAATAATTTTCTTTATAATTAAGTGCTTAAACTTTTAAATGCTTCTTTTCTTGTTCAAAAAAGTCAAAATTCTAAATTTTTGTTGCTAGATTTGCTTGAATTTTTGAGAATAAATATAAAATAAGCCATACTAAAATATCATTATATATTTAATAAGTCCTATATATATATAAAATCATATTAAGAATTATAATTGATTCTTAAGAAAATAATACAGATATATGGATTAATAATTAATGTTATTTTCATCATTACATCTCATCTAACTTTGTTCTACATAACGGACAATCTTCCCTCTATAATAACCATTCTCTTAGACACTTTTCATGAAACTTGTGTTGACACTATGTCAAAATAACTGGGGAAAACAAAAGTTGATTCTCCATATCAGCTATTAAAATAGAATCCATGCAAATAGCACAATCCTAATAATATTTATTCAATATCCATTTAGGTATTACACATCTTGATCCATATTTATATTGTAAATAAAGAAGCAAAAGAGATATGAGATAAATACCGTAAAATAATATTATAAATAGATAATCGAATTCTAGAGAATTAATGCTTCTTAAATAAAATTGCAAGTATGTCTATTTTAATATGAAATAAATACTGAAAAAGGCAATCCTGATGACAAACATCCAAAAAGATAAAATAAATTAAATTTCTCTATAGAGTTCCATCTAATATTGTGTATAACTTAAGGAAAAAGAACTAAAGCATAGATGAGTTGAAAAAACAAAAAGTAAAAACATAAAAAAGCCATAAAAATAGTGGCAGCACATATTCCTATTATTACACCTAAATGTTGTTAAAATATTTACACAGAACTATTGGCAGTGACGTCCAAGGATGATTTTTTTTAATTTTACAATTTTTCCCCTTTTCTTCAAGAAAATATGAAGCAAACCCAAAGAGCACTATACATTATAAGATATAAATTATGAAAATAGCAAGATTTATATTATTGTTAAAATAAACATCCTAAATTTTTAACAATATTATTTACAAAATTAAAAATTAATGCATATATAAACACCAAATCTTCAAAATAAATAAATAATGCTATCAAAGACAGCTAAAAATATTTCATATGTTACTTAGCTTAATTTCATCTTTTTATGCAAAACAAATTTGCGAAATATAAAAGGCAATACTAATTAATAGATGAAAAAGATTAAAGTAATATTCTCAGTTATAATTAGTTATATTTAATTTTCTTCATTGCTTGCTTGTGTAGTAAATTTCAATAATTAATTGCATTGAGGTAATTTATGGTTGCTGGATTAAAAAATAACGATTAATTATCTATCACACACTGTTTTAGTATTATTATCCACCTAAATTTCTATAGTAAATTCATTTTTACACTGAATGTAAGCATTATCTGCTTTTATATGTGTATTTCCAATACCTTTCAATGCTCTTTGATATAATTGAAACATTACATTGAGAAGAGTTTGACATTAAGGGATATGTCTCCATAAAACTGTTCATCTTGCTGATCATTATTGCTGAAACCTTTGTAAATAATAGAATTATGAGAAAATTTGACCAATCCTTAAACTTAATGAGCATCGATTTTATGATTTTTATCTTCTAGCGTCCAAATGCCTTTGTAAAATTTATTTTCAGAAACATTATATATATCCTGTATTTATTAAAGTAAGGACAACTGAATAAAAGGCAGAATCCAGAAAATTTTTTAAAATTTCCACATCTTTTCAATATAATTATTTTTAAATAAAAACCGAACATTTAAGTATTAAGAATTTATAATTCTATTGAAAAAAATTTTAAAAAAAGCCAAAGGCCAAATATATTTATCGTATTATTCTGGCTAACTCCAAGTCGTGCCATATAAATTATCGATTTTTTTGTATCCTTTTTTATACTACCAGAAACTTGAAGTAAGATCTACAATTTTTTAAATTGTGAGTCTATTTAATAAATATAAATCTTTATTTGATAGCTAAATCAAGGAGTTATTAAAAAATTTCATTAGAAATAACTAATGAGAACGTTAACTCTATTACTATGTAATTTAGCCTTAACTCTTAAAATAAAAAAATTAATATATTATAAGAGTTTAATTGTTGATTGACAATAATATTTATAGTAAAATTACAATGAAACAAGCAATTAAAATAATATGTATTATGGCCTAATTATGAGTTAATTGAAAAAATAAAAAGTAGGTTTGAACTAGGAATAGATTAAAACGTGTCAGTCCTTCTGAATTACAAATTTAAAAAAAACTTGATTATTCAAGCTTAAAACAAAATCTACTTTGATCTTTAAAAATAGTTAGATCATTTATAAATATAATGAAAAACAGTAAATTGCTCTAGTAAACACTTAAAAATTCAGAAGATAGACAATCACACTTAATTATTACCTAAAGTATTATCCTGATTGAAAATTCTAAGTGTAATAATAACTAATGAAAATGTATTATTAATAATAATTTAGAATGTATAGAAATGATTCTATATTGTCTGAGTTAAATTAAATATAAATTTTAGTATTATAAATGTTATTAATTAATATATGTAAGAAGCAAAATACCCAACTTTTAAAAAACTTAATATTCCAATCAATAATCATAGGATTAAGGCTTGTAAGAATAATTTGTAGATAAAACCAACTAAAACATTAAATTTATTCCAGTATTAGCTCCTTAATAAGAAAATTGCCAACAATAAGCCTAATATTAATAATATTCATAATATTAATAAAATCAAGTGATTCCTTATGCTGAATACTTCAATCATAGTTTGGTGCCAATACCGCCTCAGAATTCTAATTTACTGAAGGACTAAGACTTTTCAACATAGAGATTATTCTTATGTGGAATTTTAGGAGTATACATATTATGGTCCATCCTATCTGTGTTGTTACTATTCCCATTATCAATAGTTTACTTTTGGGATACTCACTAAGGAAGTTAAAGTCCCTTGCCTTTACTTTCTTTAATTATATTTTTATTTTTAACAATTTTTCTAGGAAAATTTGGAATTTAAAAAAATAATAGACAAGTATTTGCATAGTTTATTTTAGTTATCAGCTAGTATTTTCGTACTACTTGGGTTAGTGTTTAGCTACACATCCTGTTATTTATCTTTACTTGGAAGTTTTGCCTCAAATTCAAAATCATAATTTGGATGTAATTATTGTTTGCTATTCTAGGGGATTTTGTAGCTGCTTTAGCTGTGGTTTCCTCTGTTATTGGAAATTTTATTTTTAATTTCATCTCACTAATTTGTTTGATGTTCTCTGTAAAAAAATTTAACCCGATCTGTAAGTTATTTGATAAATATTTTATTAGTTCCAGTTCTTTTTGAGCTTCTTGTGATTGTTATTTTGGCTTTTATCTATCATCCAATCTTCTTATTTTGCATTCTTTTTCTAACACCATATGCTATTTGTTTGATGCATGCTTTCAAACAAATTTGAACGGGAGAGTATTTTATTCATTTATGTTTATAGTTTGAGTTGTAAAAAAATCAAGTAATTACTGGGGCTATGGCTTCATTTTATGGTACTATCATTTGTTGTACTGATTGAATTTGCTTTATATTCGAATATTAATCTCATAAAATATAAAATAAAAATTTAATATTTCAGCATAATTTCTTCAAATTTACTTAAGGTTATCTTAAAATTTATATCTGGTGAATTGATTTGCAAAAAGGAATGATTATTATTCTTTAGACAGTAGAATATTAGGAATTTAAGCTTTCATTTTAGACATATCAATGATAACAAGCACAATTATAGAAAAGTTTTTTTTGATTTTGAGAACTATTTTGATTAATTATTTGTATGAAACTAAAGACAGAAGATTGCTTTTCAAATATAAGTATGCTTCATGTTTTCAATGATATTTGAGAGGCTATTGTTTACCAAAAACTTAAACATACAAAATGTTTAACTAAAATTTAAGAAAAGTTAGCTTTATATTTTTCTATTTAGAATTAAATCGATTTAGTTGAAGATGATTGGTATGTTAATAACAAAAAATATTTTATTATTATATTTAATAATTTTTGTTACTCATCCTTTGATATTAATTTCCTTTTCTTAAATTTAAAGTATTTGCCACTGGCAATATTATTTTGTTTTGGACACAGTTGTATTAGAAAACAATAACTATAAATGAGGATGAATGCTTAAAATTTTATCATTTTTAATTCAGAATTAATTCAAATTAATCCTTGGTTCTTGCTAGTAGTGGAGACTGTGCCTCTGTCATTAAAGCTCGTTCATCTCATACTTACATATCTTATTAACTGTAAATTAACTTGATGTCATTCAATTAGGGATTTTATTACTGTAATTGCAAATGCCTCGTTTATCAATTCTTTAATTATTATTAGAAGTGTGATTACTTTATCACAAGATATACCTATAAATGATATATGCCATTTCTTTTTTAATAAAATTAATTCATCAATTTAAAAGGTAAATTAGTATACTTAATTTAATTATCACTTAACTTATAGATAATGATTCTTCATTAAAGAACAATATTGTTATGAGTTTATAATATAATCTGAATGTAAGAGTAGATATGATTCTAATCAGTAATTATATTCATATTCTACTTATGTTCACTATACTTACTATTATACTGTGTTAGGATAATTTGAAGAAAGGCTACTATTGGGATAGCTTCATAAATTAATAATATCAATAATAATAATACTCCGTGTGCTAATTATTATTCAAATTGTATATCAGCGGATGCAAAGGATGAAACTACTTATTGTCAAGCTTAATGCAAAAAAAAAGTATGTGAGATTTTTTCTGGAATAAATCATTATTTGGATACCAAAATAAGAAGACTGCAGCAATTAATTTATTCAAGAATAATTTATGATTGATAAAATAACGTGAGAGTGGTTAGATATCCTATTGAATTAGTTATTATAATAATCTTTAATATTATTATTCAAATAAGGACTGCATCACTATACAATTAATAAATTATTGTCAATAGTATTTTGTGATTGTTTTTGGATGGATGCAAGATTTAGTAATCCTTATGCATGACAGAAAGATGTAATTTATGAGGATCACTTAATCAAAGATGCTTTTAACTCATATACTAGGCTGCATGATGCTTTACAATTAATTCATCAACATCAATATTTATATATATTTTCCTTTTGATGCTATGTAACTTATAATTTAAATATTGTTAAATATTTGGATATGTCTTTTCGGATGATTTCGTAATTCAAGAGGTGGATGTGAGTATAGTATAGGAAAAATTATTTGATAATGGAAATAATATAGAATTCTAACATATCATGTCACAAGTCTTGTCTCAAATGCTTTTAATCGTTATGTATATACTGTCAGAAAGAACTGGATATTNATTAGAAAACAATAACTATAAATGAGGATGAATGCTTAAAATTTTATCATTTTTAATTCAGAATTAATTCAAATTAATCCTTGGTTCTTGCTAGTAGTGGAGACTGTGCCTCTGTCATTAAAGCTCGTTCATCTCATACTTACATATCTTATTAACTGTAAATTAACTTGATGTCATTCAATTAGGGATTTTATTACTGTAATTGCAAATGCCTCGTTTATCAATTCTTTAATTATTATTAGAAGTGTGATTACTTTATCACAAGATATACCTATAAATGATATATGCCATTTCTTTTTTAATAAAATTAATTCATCAATTTAAAAGGTAAATTAGTATACTTAATTTAATTATCACTTAACTTATAGATAATGATTCTTCATTAAAGAACAATATTGTTATGAGTTTATAATATAATCTGAATGTAAGAGTAGATATGATTCTAATCAGTAATTATATTCATATTCTACTTATGTTCACTATACTTACTATTATACTGTGTTAGGATAATTTGAAGAAAGGCTACTATTGGGATAGCTTCATAAATTAATAATATCAATAATAATAATACTCCGTGTGCTAATTATTATTCAAATTGTATATCAGCGGATGCAAAGGATGAAACTACTTATTGTCAAGCTTAATGCAAAAAAAAAGTATGTGAGATTTTTTCTGGAATAAATCATTATTTGGATACCAAAATAAGAAGACTGCAGCAATTAATTTATTCAAGAATAATTTATGATTGATAAAATAACGTGAGAGTGGTTAGATATCCTATTGAATTAGTTATTATAATAATCTTTAATATTATTATTCAAATAAGGACTGCATCACTATACAATTAATAAATTATTGTCAATAGTATTTTGTGATTGTTTTTGGATGGATGCAAGATTTAGTAATCCTTATGCATGACAGAAAGATGTAATTTATGAGGATCACTTAATCAAAGATGCTTTTAACTCATATACTAGGCTGCATGATGCTTTACAATTAATTCATCAACATCAATATTTATATATATTTTCCTTTTGATGCTATGTAACTTATAATTTAAATATTGTTAAATATTTGGATATGTCTTTTCGGATGATTTCGTAATTCAAGAGGTGGATGTGAGTATAGTATAGGAAAAATTATTTGATAATGGAAATAATATAGAATTCTAACATATCATGTCACAAGTCTTGTCTCAAATGCTTTTAATCGTTATGTATATACTGTCAGAAAGAACTGGATATTTAGGATTAGAATATCTAATTATAAAATTCGGTTTACTCCTTGTAAAGTTCAAATGAATTGAAAACTCCAAAAAAGGGAATAATATTAGTGTTTGCATATATTTCATATTACCTGAGATTATGCTTAGTAAACTTAAACAAACAAATAGTATCAAAAGTATAATTATCATTTTCTTAACAGGTACATTTGAAAGTTATATACATAGTGAAAACAAACTCTTCAAATAATTTTAGTTATTATTGAAAATTTTCAAAAGGAAGAATATGTATTGAATTGATTTTCAAAGAAATGCTTAATATTTGTTAGGTTTGATTTTAAGTAATTTTTCATATTCTTTTGTTGCTTCGTCATTTAAATTTATATTTAATATTAAATTCAAAATGACTAATCCTAATTTTTGAAATTATTTAATGTTGATTTTGAACACCTATTATTGCCTTAAGAAATACTTAATTTAATGCTTCCTCATTGCATTAATTTCGCTTCTGTATTAAAAAACAGATTAATTTATAATTAAGCCAAACCTGATTTAACACGTTGACAAATTTTTAGATTTAGTATGATGAATACATTGGTTTAGGAATTTAAGAGTTGATTATATAAGAGGATAGATTCTCCAAAATCTTCAATTTTGAAAAATGCAAAATATTATTAAATAAAAAATCGGGCTGAGAAGAAATTTAATAAACTATTTCAGCTTAGTCTTAAGAATAAATAGCGTTTTTTAAGCTTTCAAAATTACTTATTTTTTTATATTTAGAATTTCTTTATATCAATTATACAATTAATATTTTTGTGAGGATCACCTAAATTCTTCATCAATTTCAGCCTAATTTATTTCTTCAATTTTCTAAAAATAAATAGCTAAATACATCTATATTTTATTCAAAATTTTTCTATGCTAATTACTCTAAATTTTAGAATAACTAATCTTTTTATTCAATAAAATGGCGTAATTTTAACTTAGAGCAATCTTTTGATATATATTTGATTATTTGTATTTAAAACTAAAAAGTTCGGTATTCTGGAATTCATAAGTCTGAACTGTAATTCCTCATATATTATGATATCATTAAAGAGCATTTATATAGAGGTTAGAGGTTACTTAAGTAATAATAATTAATGAAAATTTTGTGACAATCACACAATTATCTAGTTCATTCAAAATATCATTAATACAAAAATGTATTGAAACATAGTATTTCTAATTGTTTTTAATGCATTCATAGACTATTACTCTAATTTTTTATTTATATTTGAATTATTAATATAATCACAAATAAGAGATATAGTTACTTTCTAAATAGTCATGCCTTTAAATTTATTTCATTATAACCAATTTTAGTAATTGGTTATAATAGTATTATAATTGTATAAGAATTAAAGAAAGGAAGTCTAAAATAGATTATAGTTTACTAGGACATAATTTTGATGCCAATTGTTTAAAATTGGCAAAATTTTGGAATTACCTCATTTCAGGAGGGCGTGATAGTAAAATCCTATTTTGGCCAATAACTCTTTCAAGCATCCAAAATGGATATCAAAATCTATTTTTCATTTCTACCCTATTAATTTGCTTAATAATGAATTCTAAAGAGGATCTTTTGATATCAGCTGGTTTGGACTAAACTATTCATATTTCTAAAAAAAATAATGCAACATAGTTTTGGAAATTTTCGTAAGTAATAAAAGAGCATAATGAGATTGTCATTAATATATATTAATAATAGTGCAAATTTGATAATATTTTATTTTATTTAAAAGAATAGATATATGAATAATACAATATTTGGATTAAGCTTAAGTTTAAATGATAATAAATTGATCTCTTGTGGATCTGATAATGTAATTTTAGTTTTACAAATGATTAAAAAGAGTTCAATAGAGCATCTGGATTGTTAAATAAAAGATTATTTTAGAAGTTCATGGATATAGGCTAAGTTTTATAACAGATAATTTATTTATATTTTAACCTTACAATTTGTAAGAAATGTGGATTTTTAAGATTTCAAATGATCTATTTAAAAAGACAAAACTATTCATGCAAAAAGTGGCTGTACAGATTTTGGAGCGTTCTTCCCCATATAGTTCATTTAATCTAACAACATTATCTTAGCCAAAAATGGTAATTACATTCATTTGATTAAATTTGACAATTAAGGTAACTTTTAGCTCCATTAATCCATTTTTTTTGGAGGTTAATGTATTTATGGGTAAATAAGCTAAAATCGAAAATATTTGATAACTTGGGACAAGAATTCAAATATCATCTAAGTCAGACTAAGTGAGAAATGATGAATTATTATATTCCATAGTTGTTAACATATATTAATATAATTGAAACCCCCTTAAAAACAATTTCATGGATTTATTCTTATAGATCTCGTTCTTAAATTTTTACTGGATAATTATTTATTCTTAAAGTTGTTTCCAGAATATAAATAATAAGCAAAATAAATCATTCTAATTTAATTTAGCGATTTGATTACTAGATTAAGTATGACTTTATTTTCTTATATAAATTAAATTTTAATCAAACTAAAAATGGAATGTTGCTATGTATTTAATATTTTATTTTAATTTCACCAAAAAGCTAACAGAGTAAGTCAATATCAAACTACTAAAGTGTTATCTTAGGCTTTCATAATCATATCTCCGTTCCAAGCTATTCCATTTTTACTCAAATTAATTTTTATAGTTTAATTCTACTTTATAATGATAATTGCACTAAAAAATTTCTTTTGAATTTACAAGTTTACTATCTAATTGATTGTTAAACTAGTAGCTGCCTTTAATATAATCATCTAAAAGTAATTTAGATATAATAAAAATAGGAATTAAAAAACAAACAAGAAAGTTAGAATAGTTTCAACATTTTTCGATTTCAGCGTTTGAATAATCTTTTCAATAAATCTGATTTCTCGGTCAAAAAACTAATCTTATTCCGTTTATTTCATTTCCAATCTGTCAATCATATCTTCTTTTTCTACTAATTTCAATGGTCCTACCGAATATTTTTTCATCAGTTTTTCTTGATGTGGCTAAAATCTCATATCAAGTTTTCATATTTTTCATGATCACCCCCTACTTCTTCTAGTTCTTATTATTCTACTTCTCTTCTTCGTCACCCATTTTTTATAATATTCACCCTTTACTTCCTCATCTTACTTCCTTAAATATCTTTCCAATAAAGAAGTCTATAAGTTTAAATGTTTAATCAATACCATAGATTACTTACCTCATCAATTATTAATTCTTAATTCAATTCGAGCCGAAAGATTAAGTTAAGGGTACTTGCAAACATTCTGCTTGAGTATTGGGCAAAACAAAGTTTACCAAGGGAAAATTTTGATTTCTAGCGATGATACAAATCTTGATGAAATGTTTTTACTTGCTCTTAAAATCTAAATTCTACTTCATATTTGTAAGCAAATCACTATTTGAAATAATGATATGTAAAAAATGATTTCAATTACATTTTGAAAGTTTATTACTTTTTTATTTACTTGCCATTCAAATCGATTAGTAGATTTAATCTTAAAGGACAAGAGATTTAACATAACAATTTATGTATTTTGATTTAAAAGGAGTTTCTTGTCGCTCATAACAACAAATTAATTTTTTGTGTGAAAATTGGATTTGCTGTAGTAGAATCAAATTAATGATAGAAGAAGAAATTATGCGTTTTGCTTATAAAATGAAATTGTTAGGTTTAGGATCAATCGTAAAAATAGTAAATTTATATGAATTTGTATTTATATAATCCTTATTTAGAATAATAATCAGTTTTATTGTAATTGCAATCTAATCTAATTTTCTAAAATGAAGCTCCCTTTTTATTAAAATAATGTCCTCAAGTTTATGCCTGAATGATGAAAAAATTCTCCTTTCAAGATTAGAGTACCTTAAGATTAAAATATTGGCTATTCAGAAATGAATTGAATATTAATACAAGAGGTGGCTAAAAATAATAAAAATTTATACTTCTTTCTTTAAAAATTTGGGGTTAAAATTATAATAGAATACTACAACGACCATTATCTGAAGTTAAAATTTATGTGTTGGTCTTAACATCCCATAAACGGATCGACTTATCTTCACTACAAGATGCCAAAGTAGTACCATCATGGGAATAACAAATTGAATTAACACAATTTGAATGACCATCTAATTTGGCTTTTTATTACCCTGTCTTAACATCCCATAAACGAATAGAGTTATCCATACTACCAGATGCTAATGTAGTACCATCAGAAGAAAAACAAACTGATAGAATTCCATTAGAATGACCATCTAATTTGACCTTTTATTATCCTGTATTAAGATCCCATAAGCGAATAGTATAGTCTTAACTACCAGATGCTAATGTATTGCCATCAGGAGAAAAACAGACTGAATGAACATAATGAATATGGCCATTTAATTTGGCTTTTATTATCCTGTCTGAACATTCCATAAACGGATAGAATAGTCTTAACTACCGGATGCTAATGTATTACCATCAGGAGAGAAACAGACTGATAATATTCCATTAATATGACCCTCTAATTTTGCTTTTTATTATCCTGTCTTAATATCCCAAAAGCGGATAGACCTATCATGACTAGCAGATGCTATTATAGTTCCATCAGGAGAGAAACAGACTGATAGTATTCCATTAGAATGACCATCTAATTTTGCTATTTATTTTCCTGTCTTAATATCCCATAAACGGATAGTATAGTCTTAACTACCAGATGCTAACATAGAACCATCAGGAGAATAACATATTGATGAAATTCCATTTGAATGACCATCAATTTTGACTATTTATGATCCTGTCTTAATATTCCAGAAACGAATGGACCTATCATTACTAGCAGATGCTAATGTAGTACCTTCAGGAGAGAAACAAACTTATAAAATTCCATCTGAATGGCAATCAAACTTTTATTAATATTATTGGGTCTTAACATCCCATAAACCAATGGATTTATCCCAACTACCAGATGCTAATGTAGTACCATCAGGAGTGAAACAAACTGACATGACATCACTCGAATGAGCATCTAATTTGTCCTTTTATTTTCCTGTCTTAACATCCCATAAACGGATAGACTTATCTCCACTACTAGATGCTAATGTAGTACCATCAGGAGAGAAGCAGACAGAAGAAACCCATTTAGTATGACCATCTAATTTGACCTTTAATTAGCCTGTTTTCATATCCCATAATCGGATGGATAAATCCCAACCGCCAGATGATAATGTAGAGCCATCAGGAGAGAAACAAACGGAGTTAATATAATGAGTATGACCTTAAAATTAAGCTATTTATTTTCCTGTATTAACATCCCAGAAACGAATAGAGCTATCATAGCTTCCAGAGGATATTATAGTACCATCAGGAGAGAAACAGATTGAATTAACATTACTTGAATGACCATCTAATTTGGCTTTTTATTATCCTGTCATAATATCCAATAATCGGATAGAATAATCCCAACTACCAAATGCTAATAAAGTACCATCTGGAGAGAAACAAACTGTACTCACCACTCTTTAATGACTATTAAATATTTTTGATATTTATTTTCCTGTTTTAAGATTCCATACATATACAAAATCACCACAGCAATACGCCATTGTTGTACCATTTGGGGAGAAGCCTACTGATTTAACTTCTTTCTTTCCTTTTAATACAGACTTTGCATTTCCTGTTTTCACATTCCAAAGACGAATTGAATTATCATTACTGCAAGATGCTAATGTCTTACAATCTGGAGAGAAGCAAACTTTATTAACACTACCACTGTGACCATTTAACTTCTTTAGCTCATTTATTCTTAAATTATTCCACTTACAATAAAATAATTAGGCTTAATTTAAATTCATTCCGCTTATTATAACATTTTCAAATTCAGATCCACTCAAATCACACCTAACGAAATTTGCTCCTACCAGAGAAGTATTTTAAATTCTAATATTTTCAAAACATTATTCTTTCAAATCAACTTTCATTTAAACTAAGAAATGAAGAGAATTTGATCCACACTATATGAATTTCTTATCTATGGCAGTAAGATGAACTAAAAATTTTAATAGTTCTATAATCTTCTTGTCTTAAGATATTTTTGTGATCATATCTTATTTAATTTCTTCATATTCATCTAACGAGAAATTCTATATATTAAACTCATGAACCCTAATTGCTTGAAGAACCTCTGTTACTCTATTAATGTTATTTTTTCCAACCTTAAACAACTATTCCTTTTCCAATAATAATGAATTATCTAAAGATAATATTTCTTTTTAAACTTGCCTTTGATTTTGATCTTATGTGAGAAAATAAAAAGTGTCTTATATTTTCTCTATTTTGAATAGTTTAATTAGAAGTGGGAAGACTACTTCATCAATAGCTTTAGATATAGCCAAAATCTCATACAAATCTTCATCCTAAACTTTTTTGCAATTCATTTCTTTTTCAAATATTATTATTAAATTTATTACTTCCTTTTTTGGTTATAAACTCTAAAATAACAGCATCTCTTAAATATTCAAATTAAAGGTATTATTTATTGAATTTGGTTTTCTTTTAGCAGGACAGGTTGTTTTTAAAAAAATTATAGGTTTCAATTAGAAAATATATCTTTAAAAACTAGTAATGACTTCTTGTGCTTTTATAATATGAATTTGGTTTAATCAAATTATCTATTTATAAAGAAAACTTCCAAAAAAGCAGGTAAAGGAGTCTATCTGGTGATAAAAAGTATACGTTATTAGAGCTTGCATCAATTTTTCTACTTCTCCTAATTCTTTGTATAGAATTCTAGTCTAAATTACTAATTGGTATCCCTAGGTTATTAAGTGAGCTAGATTACTTTGTTTCAATTTTCTGGCAGAGTCGCAGCTTTGCAGCGAATTACTTTTACTTCTTGTTTATAGATTAGATCCACTCAAAAACTCTCCATCACCCTTTCCATGTTTTCCTCCATTTTAAAACTCTCAATCAAATTCTCAATTGTTCTACTTGTCAAAATATCTACTATTTAACCCTTAAGATCTTGTGCTTATCTTTTTTAATTCAGATACCTGAATCTAAGTATAAAATTTAACTTGCAAAGCCTCTGCTCACTAATCACTCATTCATAATTTATTCAAAAATTTCGCCTTACGGAATAACAACATTTCATTCAATAGTTTGCTAGAGTTCAGTATTTTCAGTTATAATTTAAAAAATAACTTAATAGATTAAAACATAAAAAAGTATTCACTATTCCCTCCTTCGAATGAGAGGTTTCCATATTATAATTCTGACACAACATAGCTAAAGTTTGAATTTCAAAACTTATTAACCTGCTCATTTTTTCATTTAAACATTTAGCCTTTAAATTGTCTCATGAACTCTTTCAATTTTTTGAGAATAACTTCAAAATATTTTTGTAGTGTTGATAATACTTCTTTTGGATATTCCCGAGGGCATAGTTATTACTTTTGATCAAATAAATATGTGATCCTTCCAATTACCGGGCATTTTGTATGATAAATTAAAAAATTCGATATATTTCATTTATTTTGTCAAGTTTAAAATAAAACTAAATAATATTCTTAGCCTCATAAATGTTAATAAACAGAATTCAAATAATTATAAAATTACCCTAGAAATAGAATAGAATTAAAAACATCTTAAATTTTTAGAGACAACTTTCATTAATTATTTAAATAAAAGCTTTTGAATGATGTGATGACTTACTGGGTCATTGTAATTCCACCCAGGGTGCACCAAACCTTATGCATCATTAGTGTTATCACCGCTACAGTTACTATTAATGATATAATAGTATCATTCAGAATGAAAGCTGCTTGTCAGTTTGGAACACAATTTAAAATGTCTGATAAAGTCTAGTGCTATAAGAGATGGATTGGAAATTTGGAGAAATTAATTGGATCAAGGAAATGTTAAACACCATGAAGCAAGGAAAAAAAAGTAAGTTAACCTTATTACTGATAAAATTAGATGGTTGATCTTTTTAGAAAGTTTAATCAATTATTAAGTATTCAATATTTTAAACAGTTAAAGTAAAAATCATTAATTTTATTATCGTATAGTTTTATTGTAAATTAGCCTCTTGGTTTCATGTATCAGCAAAAGTATAGTATTTAAAGTTAATAGCCAAAAAAGGATAGGAAGACTTAAATAGCTTTTAAATTACTTAATTGATTTAACATATTCTCTTAAGTAATTATTTTAACTAACTACTTTAATTGTATAAAACATAAGGAAAACTTTGTTTAGGCGAATAAATTTTTTTTTGCAATAAGTATAATTGATCTCAAATGTAGAGTATTAATGGTTTAGTATAGACGCAATATGTAGTATATGCTTTAATAAATCAGCTAATTTTAAATCACTTAAAAGAGGAAGAGAAGGTAATTTTAAAGTGAAATGACATTAAGTTCCTTAGAGCAATTCTAAAATGCAGAGTCTCATATAAGATTACTGATATTTGAAGATCAGGTTTTCAAGATAAAGATAGGTGGTAAATCAAATTTATTTAAACAATATGTATATTTGAAACTAAATATTGAAAAATTAAAGTTTATTGTTGAACTTTTTTTTCTTGTGTTTCGCTTTTTCATTTATTAAATGAGAAAAGTATAAGATCTCAATTATGTTATTGAAAATTAAATTTACACATATTTATCCTTTTAAGTATGTACTCTATTTTATTGCATTAACATTCCAGCCCATATGTTTATGATGTTAATTCTTCATTTTAGATCCATTTATCTTACGAATTATTTTACCAATGGTACCTTTGCCTTAATATCTACTTTTATATTGTTTCACTTAGTATTTTTTATTTTGGTTGATTTCTACAAAACAATCTCATGAATTTCTATTTCTTTATTTTGTCATACTTAGAAGTTCTGAAGGAGAAAATTTGTATTAGACAATCTGAAACCCCTTAAAAATGTAAAAAGAGAGGATGATGTACAACGAATAACTCGAAACTATCTCACGCCTCAAAACCTAAAATGCACTTTTCTCAAAAAATTTCTAAAATTTTTTTGAATCAATTTGATAGCTATAATATAGAAGTGAGAGACCTCTTCGATATTGGTTTTCTTTTTTCCTATTGAAATTAGGATTTCCTTTATCAATTTGTATTATAAATCCCCCTTATCTGGAAATTGTGATTTTATTAATTCAAATTAGTCTTCTCTAAGGTGTGTCTTCTTTGATATGATTCCAAGTTTATTTCCATCATTATTTGCAATATCATTTTTAAATTGGAGGTAGAAGTTGTTTATGGAAGTGATTCTAAGTAGTTTACCTTATTAAGTTTATTAATGATATCTTCTTTTTTTCCTATTTAAATATACTCAACCTTATTTCACTATATACCAATAGTTTTAACTAAAACCATATTGGTGGTTAGCTCTTGAATATAAGTACAATAATCAAATCTCATTTATTTATGATCTCCTTTTTCTCCATAAATACTACCTATTACTTACGGTAAATTTGATTAATAATTTCAGAGAGATGGATTATTAACACATAATTATATTATGTTAAGTTTGGTCTTCTTTCTTACCATAACATCATCAAACTTAAAACTTTATGAGGAGAGATTGTAGGTTTTATTTATAAATGTCAATTACTCCACTTATCTTGAAAACAAGGAAGAAAGAAATCATCAGTATACTTGAAACTTCACTATAAACAAACATATTCACTTAGTTGAGTAGGTATAAATTTTAAAATAAGTAATATATATGTAGTTATTTAGTTTCTTATTAGACATTGAATCACATCGTCTCAATCTAAATATGGTTAGGGAAATTAAATCTTTATTAGGAGCTCAGTTTAAATTAAGTGATTAATTTGCTTATTTTATTGAATTGCTATTTTTATTACAAAATTAATTTATCTTTGATTCTTCATTTTAACAGTCAAAATTAATTGCTTGAAAGTCCAAAAAAACCCTTTTTAAGTTATACTTGTTTATTTCTTTATTCTAGAGATTTCAAGAATTTAAATTTCATAGAGGGTGTTTGAAATCTATAATTTTGTCGAAATAGGCTTTAACTTGGAAATGAAATTGAAGTCGAGTCAAAGAATTCTTTCATTTAAATTTGTATAGAGTTAAGATGTTTCTTAGATAAAGATTTTGATATTTCTCCATATATTATTATGATCAAATTTTCAGTTAATAAAGGGCCAAGTTTTATGTACACTTAGAGCATTTAAAGGATTAGAACTTAAATTCTCTCATCTAGAATCTAATGATGAATAGAACCTAAAAATTTTGAGTAACTTTACTACATTAAAGAGATTTATTAGGTTTATAAGATGCATGTAAATATCCATATTAATAATTATTGATTTATAAATATTTAATGATTATGTTGATTTATATGAGTTTAGCTTAATTTAAATAAAAACCATCTGGGATCAGGTAACTTAATGAAAGCTTAAATTTTTTAAGGTAGTAAATGTAATTTTTTTATTAAAGAATCGTTTATTAAATTTATACAGCTACCTCAGCCTTGTTGTACTAATTTCGAATAAAGTAAAAATACATTTATTTTGACTAAATTTAAATGAGTTCTGGTATTCTTCAAAATTATTCTACTTATTGAGTTAAATTTTATAATTATCCAGTAAAAAGGTAATAATGCAGCTTCTGAGCTCTTATCAAGTGTCTTTTATTTAAATTTTAGAAGTATAAATATCAATCATCATCTGCTACACTTTTAGCTACTGACATTTTTTCATCAACAATATAAACACAGATTTAACACTCAAAAATGTTAAAGATAGAAACAAAAATCTCATTAAAAACATACTGTTAATTTCTGTATCTACGTACCCTAGGGGGAATTAAATCTGATGCTAATAGAAGCGTCTTTTTTGACCTAAATCTTCAATTTAACTTGCAAAATTTGGTAACATCCTATGCCCTAAAAGAATGAACATCAAAGTTGGTTGACATATCATGCTATTATTCATAATCTCATCGGTTGGTATTTAAGTAAATATACTAACCTGTTTCTTTAATAAATGGAATTTATCCCCTAAAACATAAAACCAAATTATTAATTTGAAAGAGTAAGAATACCTATTAGACTAAATTAGATATATTGCTTACAAGAGTTTTGGAGAAGAATTCATTACTAGTACCTAAATTCAAAAAAATTCCCTAAACATGATATTCTCTACCCTTCTATAAATAAACTTTAGATAATAAACAAAAAAGTATTGGCTTGAAGAGATAAAATAACAACATATAACATATGTTTGGTAGACTTCATGAGGGACTTATTAGATTCTAATCAGGGAAGGCTATTAAGGAAGCATGAAGGCCTAGCTAATTGCCTAGGTAAACTCAATAATCGATTTGGATATAGAGTGTGGAGATAATGTAAGATACTAATGAGGAATGCAGAAACACTCGAGGATAACCCAA